AAAATAAATACTTTATTTTTACATTGATAAAAGAACATGCATTTAACGTCTCTAGATTAATTTTTCTTGTAGCTAAGTAGGGATAGCTAACTTACTGTTTTGGTCGATTTTGAGGTGAACTCGAAAAGCTACTCAAAAAATTGTGGTTTAAACTATAACGGTGCAGAATGTTATTAAGACTTGAATCTCGTGAGACAATACAACATCATCATCTGCTACTGGTGGTTATTTGACTACTTCTACAATATTTACGGCAGATAATTGATTAACACACTTTAAAAAAAAAAGGTTTTCTTTTTAAGTTTTTGTTTGAAATTTGAAAACGTTAACTTCGGTTTCCATAATATAACTTCCATACAGAACTTGAAGATACATACATATGTACATACTATGTATATTATCCAACAAAATAAAAAAAAAATTTGTTTATATTGCAACTATTGTATATAACATAGGTTCAGCGGACCGATATCTGCGATTCCAACAGATGAGTTATTTCTTGGGGAGAAAAGAACGCGCGAAAAATTTCAGAGCAATAGTTCAAAAACTCAGTATTTCGTGCGCTTATATACACACAACCGAACATGGCAAGTCTCCTGCATTTTCGTTTGTTCAGGCTATGAGAAGCTGCACGATGTGCTTAACTCGTGCTTTCAACTGTCATGTAATTAAAAATTCAACATGACAATCGAGTGAACAAAGTTATTGGCGTTTAATGGGTAACATAAGCATAACGAGTATTTAATTTGTTCGGCCCCTATTTTAGGTATGCATTAAATTTACGCTTGAGCTAATTTGTGCGTAAAAACTCTGGACGTGGCGTGAAGTTAGTCATTGACCAATTATTTATTGTGAGGGGATGTAGCTCAGTGGTAGAGCGTTCGCTTTGCATGTGAAAGGCCCCGGGTTCGATCCCCGGCATCTCCAATTAATTTTTTGTTTTTTTAAGACTCTAATTTTTAGSAAAATTTTTGTTTGTTATTACTCTTTTAATCATCTTTTTAATATTGTTAGAAATGTTATACTGAATACAGTTTTTTAAAAAACAATTATTTATAAAATATTTTAGTTTTATGTTCGCATAAAATTTTTAATTATAATTGCAATCATTACTATCTTAATTCCCAAACATTAACAAAGCGAAAACCATTATTCTCAATGCAGCCACTTTCCGTTAACTCGTATCTGGCTAAACGTCTCATATGCTGCCGTCTGTTCGCTGTCAAGCCGTGCCGTCCCGGATCACCAACAAGTATCTGTTTTCCCGCCTTACGTAGACTTTGTAGCCAAGGATGCAAGACTGCGGCAAACTCTTCGTCGTAAAAAACATCACCCAATAAAATTAGGTCTTCCTTTACCAATTGTGAAGCTTTTATTAAATTTTCCGTAGAAATATGTAAGCGTTTCAGGTCTACCCCATTCAACTGGGCGTTCAGTACAACAGCACAGCCAGCCACTAAAAGATTCAACGCAGAGATAGGGAGAAAGTGAGAGAGCGTGTATGTATGTATAAATGTAGTCTTAGGCAAGTTTAAAATGTGAGGGGATGTAGCTCAGTGGTAGAGCGTTCGCTTTGCATGTGAAAGGCCCCGGGTTCGATCCCCGGCATCTCCAGTAGTATTTTTAYTTTACACTTTAAACTTTTATGTAAAATTGTATATGAAATCCACCTTTATCAATGTCATTTGCCACAACATATTTTGCTTTGTGTATCAGCGCAGCCACGGAGCCGGCCCCACAACCGCTGCCCACATCCAGCACCGACTTGCCAACCACCAAGGAGGGATTATCCAGCACGTAACTGTTAAAATAGTAGACGTTATGAAAGTAACTATGTGAAATTCATTTTGTGTCAAACAAACCGACTGATAGCCTGTCCACCAGGCCAGTAGAATGCCCAAAACGGGTCGTCTTTGAACAACTTCGTGACATTTATATTGGGCACTGGTTCATGAAAGAGCCGACATTCAGGTGTTATGAGATGGAGCGCTATCTCTGGTGTTAAATGATCTCGTGATATTTTCGTCTCTTGTATTATTAAGCGTTCGATGTCCTTAAGATTTGTTCTAGATATATATATATGTATGTTACAATTTACATATAAAAGTATGATATAATTTTGTGATTCTTGCATAATAGTAAGCCGGATTGGGGCTTGAGCTTAAATTTTATTTGGGAAATATTTAGAGTATCACTTCACTCTAAAAAAATGATCACCAATTTTGAACGATTTTCAAAACGGAACTCAACAAAATGATTCTTCTTCTTATTTACTGGCGTAGACACCAGATTATAGCCGAGGGTTGTGCGCTGGGTTTATGAACCGCCACGTACAAGCTACTACCAATGAAAAAGCGTAAACAACAAAATGATTAATATACAGATATTTGGAATAATATTAATTCAATATCTCTAATGATTACTTTTACATGGATTTCTTCTCTTGGACTGAGGTGTCCATTAATTTTTTCAGCGAAGTTCTTTTTATGGCCTTAGTCGAGTCAAATCTCGTTTTCAGTTGTAGATCTGTTGTTTGATTATTGGAAAAGCAAAAAGTCAGTAGAAGCCACGTATTGGTGGATACTATAGAGTAGGAATAATATTTGCTATTATTTTGGACACTTACAGTACGTTATTATTATTTTTCCGGGCTGAATCGAGTCAATACTTCCTTGAGCCCCCATATACCTAATACAAATATTTTCGAACTTCCGCATATTTCGGCCAACATAGTAGTTATCTCAATGAAATAGAGAGAGCGTGTTTTATTAATAATATTGTATCATTGTGAATAAAATAGATGGAATTTGGCGAAAACTTGGCCTACCCCCCATATAACTATTACCGGTTGACTTTGCTTCATATGATTACTAATTTTATGTCAGGTGTCTTAATAAAACCCAGTTAACATTTTTTTGATGTGTAGAATGATAATAGTCATTAGATAAAATCAGGTCGATACTATCCCAACTTACTACATATAATGATTTTCGTTTTTCTAACAAACCTTATGTGGAATATATCTGTCACTGTATGAGTTACATATAGTAGTGGGTGTTTTCCAAAGGACGCTACAGAAGTAGAACGAAAAGGTCAGCAAACAACGCAATATTTTTCCAATTTTGATATTTATTTTCAGTAAGGTTTGCCATTTTATCACGTAAATATATACTATTCAACGAGTAGTCGAAATTATTAAAATTTACTACCGAAATTCGGAATCAGTGGCCTCAACTTGAATACCTGTCAGATCAACAATAGAGAGTCTAGTGGAAAAATTTGAATCCATAGGCACAGTACAAAATGTTCCTGTACCAGTGAGAGAAAGAACTGCCCGTAGTTTTGAGAATATTGCTGCTGCTAGCGCATCAATTGAGGTAAACCCAAATCAGTCTCTCACACGTCGTTCTCGAGCGTTGAGCATCTCTATGACGTCATTATGGCAATTTTTGCGAAAAGATCTTGGCCTACATACTTACATGATCAAATTGACGCAAGGACTGAAGCCGTTTGACCACCAAAATCGCCGTATGATCGTGAATTAGATATTGGGCTGAGCAATAACTTCAAAATTATCCGGATTTTCATCAAAAAATCATCTTCAACGGTGAGGCTCATAAGCAAAATATGCGTTATTGGTCAAGTAGCAATGCACACGTACACGTATACAGAGGGGTTTCCAAAGTAAACAGGACTTAAAAAAAAACAGAACAAATGGTTTTTTCGGCAAAATAAATTTATTTATTTAAAATAGAGAGCTTCTGCTTCWATACAGCTTTTACGGTATGGCCGCCAGTATGCCGGTGCAAACCTTTTGAATGGCCTCTACGTCTGCATAACGCTTTCCTTTAATGGGCAAATTCATTTTTCCGAAAAGGAAGAAGTCGCATGGTGCCATATCAGGTGAACATGGGGAGTGGTTAACGGTTGAAATGTGATTTTTTTTTCAAATAATCRGTCACAATAATGTCCTTCGAATGTTGGATTCTGAGCAATTTTTGGTCATCAGTCAATTTGTGCAGAACAAACCGTGCACACACCTTTCGTAAGCTCAAGTGTTCGGTCAAAATGCAATATAGCAATGTTTGTAGATGTTCAATTCCATTTCCACGAATTTCAATGATGATTTCGGCTGATTTTCGGTGAATTCACTCACAGTTTCCATGGAATTTCCGGTGATCATGGATTTTGCTTGGCCCACATGTTGATCGTCATGTACGTCCTCACGACCACTTTAAAAACTTTGAAACCACTGGTGCACTCTGCCACGGGATAGGCAATTATCGCCATACAGTTGTTTCATCAATTGAAATGTTTCGGTAAAAGTTTTACCAATTTTAAAACAAAACTTAATGTTGGCTCTTTGTTCGAAGCTCATTTCCGTACCGATAACACAAACATACTGACACTTAAAACGCAATAACTTCACTTTTAATCAATGAAATGTCATGAAATTCTCACTGGACAATCGATAAAGATAGCAGATTCTAACGCAACAGTCGACAGATAGATGGTGCCACCAGAGGGCGCTCGATTCAAAAAGTCCTGTTTACTTAGGAACCCACCTTGTATATCGTGGCATAAAATGAACCTCTACCTTTAATACCGTATTACGYGAAGGAGTTTAAAAACATCAATATGGCGCCCACGCAAAAAATTAACTAATAATAATAGTAAAGAGCTAAAAATAGCATCCATAAATAAATAAAAAGAGAAATACAAAATTGAGCTGTCAGCTTATAAAAAAATATATTTATAATAAAAATAAAACGCCATAAGTGTTTATGTTTTTGTGAGCATTACGAATATGTTGTGGGATTGTGGAACCGGTATGCCAAGCACGTGCTCAAAATATGCCAAATGGTTCKTTAAATCTATTTGTATCGATTATGAAGCTATAATTAGTGTAGCGTAATATTTGCTGTAATAGTGAGGTACATGTACATATGTAAATTAATTGTATTGATTGAAGTAACGAAAACAAAAACTTTTTTTTTCCTTTTTGGATATTTTCCATTTTTTTAGGATAGGAACAATAAACAAACTTCTTTTTTTCTGTGCAAATATTTTTCTGAACAATTTTACATAAAACCAAAACAAAATATAAATAACAATGTAAATAAAATATAAGCAGTAAGTTAACTTCAAAATAAAATGGAGATAATAATATAACAAATAATTGCTAATTTTTCGCTTTAAAAAAAAATCGGTGGTGCGCCTATAGTGTGACTTCCGCGTAAAAGCCCATTGAGTTTTGGCTTGTGCGGAGCGGCTATTTGTTGCTACAGCAAAAGCGCACGCTTCGTCATGCCAGTATGCATGTAATCAACATCAAACGAGCACACATACGTTCACACATAAAAATATAAAAAATATGATTTGGAATGCACATCTGTGTAACCTTCTCGTCTAAATTAACACATTTGAATTAGTCAACAAACATACATACATACATAGAAATCCACAAGAATGGCATACTTTGAAACCACTTGCCAAAATATTCGTAAACACTTTAAAGAATGCAAAAATTTATTTGTCAAATTTTATTTATTTTGTTTGTTTGCCCCATTGTACGCACTCAATTGGTTCCATTTATTATTTTATTCATATAATTTTTTCTTCCTCAAGCTTGGTGCATTCGTGAAGGCACAAGAATTTCGTGCTTTGTTTAATAAGTACGCGAGTAAGCTGCGTAAAGTACGAGTGCATAAGATTTTTCATTACTTTTGTCTTTTACTAAGGTCAGAATTTACGTCAAATGCAATAATAGTAATTGAATGAAAAAATATTTGTTTTCCAAGTTAGATCTATGACCTCTTAAATATTTTTGATTAGTTAAAAATAATTTAATTTTAAGAAAAGAATTAAGGAAGGGCTAAGTTCGGGTTTAGCCGAACATTTCATAGTCTTGCGACTTGTCAGGATCAAAACCAGGGAAAAACCTTCAGGAGCATAAAGTTTTCACCAGATTTGATTCATTTTATGCACTATTCTTAGAAAAGCACATTCTCCATTTTCCTATTTTTATTGACATAACTCACATATTTGCTGATATATGCGGTATAAAGTTAAGCGAAAGTTCAAAAGTCTTTCTATTAGCTATATGGGGACAAAGGGAATTATTAATCCGATTGAAACATTTTTTGACATACAGGCATACTATTATTAGAAAAGGATTCCGTCCGAATTTATACAATGTATCTCATGGATTAACCGATATTTTCGACCAAAAGTCAACTATAGGTGCTGGGGTCCACTTATTGTGTACTTAGGGACTTGGAACAGTTTTGGTCTGATTTGGACAATCTTTGGTCATAAGATGGCAAAACTCAGCAGAACTATTCGAGCAAAGTTTTATCTTGATACATTCATTTGTATTTGTATACTGGAACGTTAAAGAATCAGATAAAATTTAAAATTATGTTTTATAGAAGTAGGCGTGGTTGTAGTCCGATATCGCACATTTTCACGCTGTAATGTAGTAGTGTCAGGAGAACAAGTTACCTATCGAATTAGATTGGAAGCAGTCGGGCAGGCCCCGAGATAGGGGGTTACATCTAAATGTGTGGCGGAGCCGCGCGTACCATCCAAATTTGACACCATCTCCAATGCAAAATTTAATGTCCCTTGTGTATTGGTCAGGTAGCAATCCACACGTACTCTTTTGCAACCTGCAAAAATTACTGTTTGGTGCGTTTTATGGGCCGGCACCGTTATTGGGTCGTATTTTTTTCATGACGATTAAGACCAGCACGTTGCTGTGAACATGAATCGTCACCGCTCAATGATAACCGAATATTTTTCGCCCAAATTGGTTGATATGGACTTGGACAATATATGGTTCCAACAGAAGAGTGCCACAATCCACACAGCGAATGTAACAACCGATTTATTGAAAGGCAAGTTTGATGAATGTGTTATTTCACGAATCAATTGGTCACCTCGGTCGTGAGAGTTGACGTCATTGGACTATTTCCTGAGGGGCTACGTCTAATCTATTGGTCCTATGCCAACAAGTCAGCGAAGATTGATGAACTTCGTACGAATACCGAACGGGAAATTGCAA